GCCTTCGGAGCTCGACCGCCTGGCTGCTGACCCTGGGCGCGACAGGCCTCCTCCTTCCGAGGGCGCGACTCGTGGTGCCAGGGGCCGTGCCCGAGCTGGCGACGCCGTCGTGGTTCGGCCCAACGCAGGCGAGGAGGCCAGAGGCAGCAGAAGGAGGTCAGGACAAGTGGACGATGACCGGGGGCGGCGGCGGCAAGGGCAGCGAGAAGAACAACGGCAAGCTGTTCATGGCTTCCCCTAGCCACCGCGCGTGGCATGGCAGACCTCTCGGCGGCGGTGTTCATTGCGCGCGAGATGAGCGCGGCGCAGGGCTTCCCGGCAGCGCTCGTGGCGGCGGGCAAGCAACGCGACGTCAAGAGCAAGGAGCTGGCGGATCGCGCGAAGGCAGGCGAGCAGATCGGGCGTGGGACAAAATGAGGGCGAGGCTCTCCGCGCCTGCGCATCTTCGCGGCAGGGGCCCACTGCATCGCGACGCGTGCCCACGCCGAGGGGGACCAGGCCGAGAAGGAGAAGCAGCTGAGGTCGGGCGCGGAGGAGTTCTGGGCCAGCACGATGTCAACCAGCAACATCCTGACGCTCGGGGCAGCTTCGAAGCACGGGCGTCTCAAGCTACTGAAGAAGGACGACGCCGACCAGCGCTGCCTCGTGATCGCGCACTTCGTCGCGGAGAGCCTGATTCGCAAGCCGGCCCAGGATCTCTTTCTGAGGATCTTGGAGACGGAGGGGGGGGGAGATGTTCCACGACAGCGCGCCGATGGGGCCCGCTGGAGCGAGAGATTTCATCAGCAGTGAACGGCACATGATGCGGCGGCAGAGTGAGAAACGAGCGGTCCTGATTGAGCGCGGCTTGATTCCAGGGGAAGTATAGCAGCCAGAGCGTTAGCAGGGGGGCGGATTTTGCCGTCGTCCTATGCGCAGAGCGAATTGCCAGGCATTCCAACAGTAGTGCTGCCTCCGAGGGAGGGGGAGGGCGGTGGGTCGGGGGCGTGGGAGGGGGCGAGCACCGACTAGCGAGAGCCAGCAGTAAGTAATAAAATGCTTACTCGAGCTGTCTCCCGTGCCGTTCGAGCCAATCCCCAACTGAGGTTGCGCGTCTCAGAGGCGTCGGCAGGCCAGTGCCTCGCTCGAGGAGAGTGAGCTACATATTCGTATTTCAACAAGTCCGTGACGGTCGAAGATACCCGCCCCCAGAACCCCGTGCTAAGCTGATGCCCCGTCTGACAGCTGCCGATTCCATGGGCTCGTCTCGTCTCGCCTCGTCTCCTCCTTCTCTTCCTCCTCCTCCCTGCGGCCCCGGGGAGCACCGCGCGGAACTCCCTGTGCGCCCGGGGCGCCGTTGTTAGGATGGCGCGAGCTCTTTTTGCTCCAAATTTTTTCCAAACAGAAATCATAGAAGAAGTCCAATCAGTGGATGGTTTGATCGATCATCCCCGTGCTTCCCCGTATTTCTCCGTGCTCCCCCTCGCCCTCTCCCCGCCTTCACTCGCGCTCGGGCACGCGCCGACATGGGTTGGGGATCCGCGAACCTGGCGCGGGGGCGTCAGACCCACGTCCGAAGCGACGGGCTGCCAAAGGCGAGCCGGCGAAAGCTGCAACTAACGCGGTCGATCCCGTTTGCCCAAGCTTTCTGGCATAGCACAAGTTGCTCCGTAATCGGCGCTTGCGCTGACAGGGGTCCTACAGCGTAAATTGAAGGATTTGGCGAAAGTTTCCCGCCGATGTTGGCGGCCGGCTGGGTTCCCAGGTTCCCGGTTCCAGTTTCCCCGGCTCCTGGCCATTGGTTCCGGGCTGATTTCTGTGGGTTCGGGTTTCCCGGGGCCCTGGGTTCCCAGTCGATATCCTTATCGATGTTTTCATCGATCCTCCTTTCGAACCATCTATTGATTGGGTAATTCAGATTTTTAACGAAACAAATTGACGTTATGGATATATATATATATATATATATATATATATATACATGTATATATATATATATATATATACAGTCAGTGGATGGTTTGATCGATAATGAATCGCGGGGTCGATAAAGGTAAGAAGCCGAGAAGGAGGTCGACCGGGAACCCGGGAACCTGGAACCCACCGAAATCGGCCCATAACCAATAACCAGGAACCCGAAAACCCGGAATTGGGAGCCCGGGAACCAAGCCGGCCGCCAACATCGGCGGGGAATTTTCGCCAAATCCTTCAATTTCCGCAATACGACCCTTGTCAGTGCAAGCGCTGACTCGGGAACCACTTGTGCTATCCCAGAATGCTTGGGCACGCTGGATCGATTACATTATAGTTGCAGCCTTCGCAGGCCTGCCTTTTTCAGCCCGTTCCTTCGGACGTGGGTCTGACGCCCCCGCGCCAGGTCCGCGGATCCCAAAAATCCATGCTGGCGCGTGCCCGATGTGCGGGGAAGGGCGGGCAGGGGGCGAGGGGAAGCGGATGCAGAGGTGCCCAGCTATAGCCCGAATTGGACCCCGTGGGTCCCGTTCCGCTACCACGAACGAGGCCGAAGTTGGAAGTCTTGACCGGTTTGTCATGTAGCCTATCTGCCGAACCCGTGTGGAGCGCATTGGCTTGGATAACTTTCAGCAGTTCGAAACCCATCTAGTTGGGCCAGCAGCTGACATAATGCTGCTTGGGCCCAATCATAGAAGAGAGCAAGTGCCATCAATGCTGTGCGACTTCGCTGGATGCACGCGAATTTGACAAGGGGTGTGGTAGGGTGGAAGACAGGCATAGGAGCATAGGACACTCTTTGAAGCGCCTCTGCTTCGGGGAACGAGTGAGGTGGAGGCGGGTGCGAGAGAAGCAGGAAGGAGGTAGTCGGGCATCGCTGGCCAGCTCGGCTGCGGGCTCGGCCTTGGCAGCCATGTTGGCGGGTGGCCGTTGCTGGATCCACTGATCCGTAATCCATTTTAGCGCGTGCCCGATAAGGCCTATCGTCGGAGAAGGGCCAGTTTGATCCACGAACCGACGGCGACCAAGATGGACAGCGACCAAGATCGGCAGCGACGTTTCCGCGTTCAGTCTTTGCCATGGTCACTGGTTTCTTTTCCTCCAGGGCCAGGCCAGCCGAGTCTTCCCCTGCAGCGCAGCATTCTGAGAGTGCGATACAGGATTGAAGAAGAAGAAGAAGAGAACGAATAATAAGAAGCGGTGCTCGGACGTACTGCCTGGCGGCCTTGCACGCCCACTGCGGCAGGCGGATCACCCGGGATGCAACTCTGGGGAGGTTGAACTCAGCACCAGTGCTGGTTGCTTTGTGGTCGAAAACGGGCCAAATCTAGCATAATCCTATACAATCATATTCTTGGGCTTACGTCGCACCGCCGACCCATTGGGGGTATAGTAGATGCCTGCCGGTGGGGGCCTCGTGTGGGCCTTTTGGGGCTCTGGTGGGACCTCTTGGGGGTTTTTTGGGGCCGAGTGGTCGGAGTTTCCTTTCGGGTCTTCCGGCTTGCTTTCGGTTGGAGTTGGTTTTCGGAGCCTTTGTGGGCGTCGTGGAGGCCGCTTCTGCCGTCGTGGGGGCCTTCTGGGCCCTCTACGAGCGTCGGGAAGGTGAAGGCGCGAGATTTCACCAACACCGCGAACAATGCCCGCATAGCCTCCGGTTTGTCGCTGGTCGGGTGAGGCAGGGGGAGAACGCCGCAGTCTGTCTCCCTCACTCGCACCCGATCTCACAGTCTCACACTACACAAGCAGCATCCTCCGAGTCTCAGTATATGTAGGGACCGCCATCGACAACCATCGGGAACCAAGGCAGACGCCAGCCAGGTGCGCGAAGCCCAGGGGTGCCGCACGTGCCAGGGGCGCCACGTGCGCCAGAAACGCCACGTTGGGCGAGATGCAGACTCCCCACCGCTCCTGTCAAAAACAACTGCACAGGGACGGCAGGTCTGCTAGCACTGTGAAAGCGCTTGTGGGCGGTCACCCGCAGTCTCTTTGCAGACACAGCGCACAGTCTGCAGCAGGCAGCAGGCCCCCCCTGCCGTCCCTGGCAGAGGGAACGCTGCATGTTCTGTGGAAAGGGGTGGTGGGCCTGCACGCAGCAGGCACCGTGCCACCCTCCCCCCGCCGCCCCTGCCGAAGTGGCGTCCGCGCATGGTCCGGTCCTTGGTGCAACGTGCTTTTTCGACTGCTGCTTTGAGGGGCGTGCTGGGGCCTGCCTTCGCACACGGCAGGCAATCTACCGCCCGCCCCCCCGCCCTCCGTTACACAAACCACTGCAAGGGGATCGCTCGGCGTCCGCGCAGGATCCAGGTTTTGGGAGACCGTTTGGTGTATCCTTTAGCGCGTAACGGTCGTTGCCCAGGCAGCCCCCCCCCCGCCCCCTTCCCCCTCTGTTGACGTGACCGATCGTGCGTAGCGGGGGGTGGGGGGGTGGGCGGGACCCCCCCCCACATGCTGGTGCTCGCGCGCATGTTGTGGCGATCGCGTCGCACCTCCCCCCAGACGTGCCTCACTTCTCCACAGCGTTACGGACCCCTGGGCCCAATCCCCCCTCCCTCTCGGTATCGACCGCCGCCCGAAATAACAAACAAATGTTCGTGACAAGTATGTCACTGCGTGCACGGGAAGGTTGTGAGCGAAGTAATTTGATGATACAGGTCAAAGAACGAACCTGTTTAAACGGGGGAGCCCTGGACTCCATAGCCTTTCTTCGGTTCGAGATGTCCCAGGTCCCAGCTGGGCACTGGGCTGTCCTCGCGCTGGGGCTCCTGCGTCTCTCCGAGCTCTTCCTGCCAGTAGCGCCGCCATCGCCTGGCCTGCTTCCTTGCGCAATGGAGGCCGTGTGCCCGCCCGCGTGGCTGCCGCCAGAGGACGCGGACTTTTGCCCTCCGTCCCCGGAGGCGCCGCCGTGTGAGGCAGCTCCTGCCGTCTGCGCGGCTGTGGAACCGGCCCCGGCGGGGGGCGAGGAAGACCCCCTCGGCGCTCTCCTGGCGGCAATCCCAGGCGTTCTGGAGGCCTGGCGCGTAGCGCGGAGCTGCTGTCGCCGTGGCCCACAGGCTGCGGGTGTCGGGCGGGACGGCGCTGCTCCCGCGAGACGTGGAGCGCGAGTGGTGGAGGCGCCTGCTACACGGGCAGCGGCTCGTCGTCAGATGTAGCGACGACCCTGTCGACCACGAGCGAGCGATGCTTTTCCCAAGCCTGCCGCCGGGGACATGGGCGGCGCGGACCCCCGATGGCGACGAGTACGAGGAGGACTTCACGGGAGCCGATCCTCAGATGGGGCCGGAGGGAGCGGCGCTGATGCCAGTCGGCGGCGGAGCGCCCGAGGGTTGGCCGCGGCCGATCTACCGCTTCCGTGCCGCCCTCACGGCCGAGGGGCTGCGGGCGGCGATCGGGCGCGGCCGCGCGCTGGTGGAGGCGCGCCTGCCTGGCATCACGCTGGAGCCGCCGGCCGAGGTCGCAGGCCCTGGCGATGCGCTGGTGGAGTGGGCCACGTTCTTCGGCGAGGCGAAGCGGCCCGCGTCGCTGCGATTGCGGGGAAAGCAGCCGCTCGCCCCGCTGGAGGACGATCGCGCCTGGGTCGTCGCGGAGCCCACGGAGAGCGCTGTGGTCGGCACCGCGGTCGATCGGGCAGACCCGCGGTTCGTCTCCACGACGGCGCTGGCAGGGCTGTTCGTCTTCGCGGAGGGCCCCCGCCGTATAGAGGCGCTGCAGGCGGAGGATCTTCCAGGGTATGCGGCGAGGCGGCGCAGGGAAATGGGCCTCAGCGACTTCCGAGCGGCGGAGGCGGAGCGTGGCGGGTCAGGACCTGCAGCAGCCGCCGACCTTCGCGAACGCCTGGGCCGAGCCGCTGGCGCTGGGGGTGGGTCGCGTCCCGATAGAGTGAGTGGCGCGGCTGCTCCGCCGCCCGCGGGCGCCGGGGCGGACGGGGGAGATCTCCGCATCCTGGAGGTGGACTACGACGCGCAGGGCGAGAGGCACAAACCCTTCAGGACCGCCTGCCGCAAGTCCTCGCAGGAGGCCTTCCCAGACCAGCCGATCGAGGGCCCCGCCTCGGCCCTGACGGTGTGCAAGAACATGGAGCGCACCAGCGGCGACCCGAGGTCCTGGTTGTGGGATTTCTTGAGGTCGAAGGGTATGGGTGACAACGACAGGGTGGCTCACGAGCTGCGGGTTCTCTGACATCCTCTTCTGGGCTGCCGCGCACGACCAGGTGAACTTGGGAGGTTTGATGTGCCTGGAGACGGCGGCGAGGGGGATCGCGGGCTTGGTGCGGTCTACTCGGACCCGGTCAAGCCTGCGCGGGGTCGCGCTCGCCTCTACGCGGGCGCCGCCTCCTCGGACGACATCGCGGGCCAGGTTTTTGCAACAGTTCGCCACGCGCAAGATGAAGGAGCAGCAGGAGGTCCAGGTGGTGCTGGCGTTCGGCAAGGGGCCGCAGCGCGTGGACGGCGACGGCCCTCAGGACGACGGCAAGGGCCGGCCAGGGCGCCCGCCGCCGAAGGGACCGAAGGGGGGCGGGGGGGGGGGGCGACCCCCCCCAAGGGGCAATGACTGCCCCCACGGCCGGGGGGGACCCCGTCCCCGGCCGGGATTCAGGGGTGGCGCGTGGTCGGCTTGCCGCCTCGCGCAGTGCCAGGGAGCTGCCCCCGCTGCCTCGCCGCTGGCGCCTGCCTGAGCTGCCCGCGGTCGGCTCCACGCGGAGCCTGGTCCTTCGGCGGCGCGAGCGGCTGGTGTTCAAGATGGGTAACGAGGCGGTGGGTGCACTGAACTGGCTGGCGGGCTTCCGAAGTGACCCGTCTTATTTCGAGCCCGACTCGATGCAGCTCGAAGTTTTGGAGCGAATGTATGAGTTGGCCTCGAGGCGGTACCCGGGTCCTGGCGTTCCCAGTGAAGGCGCGGCCGTTCGCCGGCTGCTGCGAGGGCGCACGCCGTGCGATGGGGCGGGGTGCCTCACCCGTGTCGCGCCCTTCAAGAAGGGCCTCGTCTCCTTGCCCGAGACAGTGGAGGGCTGCCCGCCGTTCGAGGGCGTGGCCCCGCCCGAGGCCCAGCGCTTCCTGAAGGGGCACCCCGAGCGCACGCTGCGCGCCGACAGCCCCCCCTCCTCAGCGACGCCTTACTTTGACCCCGCGCTGAAGCGCAGCGCGAAGACCTACAGACAGTTCATCGCCGACTTGCATCGCCGTGGCCTGATTGGTTGGACCAGACGCCCTCGCTGCCAGGTCGGCCTCTTTTTCGTCGAGAAGGATGGCGGTCAGAGGCTGCGGCTTATCCTGGGCGCCAGGCCTGCGAACTTGCTTTTCGAGTCGCCGCCCGGCGTGGCCCTCCTCAGCGCCGAAGGCCTCAGCCGGGTGGAGATCGCTCTTCCTGAAGATCTGGGCCCTTGGAGTGAGGGGGCCCACCAGCTCCTGCGTGGCTACTCCCTGCGCTTGGGCCTCGCCGACGTCAAGGGCTGCTTCCGCGGGCTGCGACTCCCTGGATGGCTCTCTGAGTACTTCTGCCTTCCTGAGGTACCTGCGCACCTGCTCGGCGCCGAGGGCCAGTTTTGGGAAGGTAGGACACTGGGGAGGCGCGATCTGGTTAGTCCTTGCTGGGCCGGCTTCCCGATGGGCTTCGCGTGGAGCTCGCGGGCGGACCAGCGCATCGACGAGCAGCGGGCGCGCGCCATCTGTCCCCAGTTGCTCGAGAGCCCGCTGACTGACCGATGGGGGGCCAGCTGTCTTCGGCCCGACCGCGGCCGAGGGCCACGTCTTGCACTGCGCGCACGTCGACAACCTAGGCGCGGCGTCCACTGAGGAGCCCCTCGTCTCCGATGCGATTGCCCAGCTCGTCGAGGGCTTCGACCAGCGGGGCTTGCTCCTGCACGGCAGCTCGGTGGGCACCGACGCCGAGACGTTGGGCGCCGAGGTCTCGGGGGCGTGCTGGAGGACGAGGGTCACTTAGAAACGCCTCTGGCTGATTCGACAGGCGCTCAACGGTTTGCTTCGCCGCCGTCGCCTCACTGGATGGGCGGTGGAGGTGCTGGTGGGGCATTGCGCCTTTGCGGGCCTGCTATCGCGCGGGACCTTGAGCGCGTTTCACACCGTGTACGCCTTCATGCGGAAGTCCTACGCCGAGCCGCGTGTCCTGTGGCCTGAGGCGCGCCAGGAGCTGGAGACGTTCCGCGGCCTTCTCATCTTCTTGGAGAGCGACTGGGCGCTGCAGTGGAAAGATCTGGCAGTGGCCACCGACAGCAGCCTTGAGGCGGGCGCCGCCTCGACCGCCCGCTGGCCGCGCGCCCTGGCGGCCGAGGCGGGCCGCGCGCAGGAGCGCGCTCGCTTCCGCGAGCCCGTGGCGGCAGGGGCCGGGGGAGCTGCGGACGGCGAGCCCGTCGCCCGCCGCGGCGCCCGTGAGACTGCGCTGGCGGCGGCCGGCTTCTGGCGCGATGAGCGCGGCGAGTGGCGGCTGGCGGAGACAGCCGAGGGCGACCCGCTGGCTGGCGCGCGGGAGCCCAACCCGAGCTTCCCCGAGGTGCCCGCGGCGGGGCCGGCGAGCACCTGCTGGCGGACCAAGCAGGTGCAGCGCTGGCGTTTTGATGAGGTCATTCATATCAAGGAGGCCCGGGCGCTGGCGATGGGCGCCCACCGCGTGGCCCAGTCAGTGTCCGGCGCCGCCTGCCGCCAACTGATATTGCCGGATAACATGTCAGTGGTGTTATCTGTCAACAGGAGTCGCGCAAGAGAGTTTGCCCTTCTTGTCCAAGGTCGCAGGTTTCACGCCTATTGTCTCGCGAGAAATATGAAAGTGCCTGTGAGATGGTTTCCGCCCGAAATGAATCCAGCGGATTGCGGGTCTCGAGTTTTTGACAAGAAAGGGGCGAAAGAGCCCCTTGGTGCGCTACTTCCCGATGTCCTCCCCTCTTCGGAGCCCAGATTTGAAGGCCCCCCCGAGATTCGCGCTCCCTTCCAAATTTCTCCATCCAAGAATTTCGCAGGGCTCCAGCCAATCTGTAGCCCCGAGCGCTCAGTGCGTTAGCCCGTGTTGACCTTGTAAATCGCAAGGGCCACCAAGCATCCCTGTGAGCGTTTTTCCCATGTATTCGAAAGGCGGTCTGACGTCTTCGTGCCCCATTTTGGCTCAAACCTGTTCTCAGGCACGTCCCACCAGTGGGCCTTCGCTCTTGCATGTCTCGGCGGAGCGTCCGACGGGGGGCTCCGACGCCCCGGCCTGGGGCTCCAGCCAGGCGGCCGCGCTTGCTGGAGAGGCCGGGCCCTGCCGCGCCTGGCTCGCCGCCGCCGCGACAGCTGGTGCCTCGCGAGGCGGGCCGCCGGCCCCCGCATCGCCCTCGCCGCCTGGCGAGGCTCACTGCAGAGCAGAGGTCGCTGGATTGGCTGTCCCGCCTGAGCTTGGCGGCGCTGCCACCGACGCCGAAGCTCCCCGAGCGCGACCAGGGGCTCCGGTCCCTCCCCCAGGACTGGCCGCGCCAAGTCGCGGTCGACAGCGACGACGGCAACGGCGCCTCCGACGATCAGCAGGCCGTGCCAGCAGGCGAGCGGCGGGAGAGGGAGCTGCTCAGGAGGGCCAATCGGCGGAGGCGCGCGTACAAGGCCGAGGCGCTGTTGGACAGCGCAGCGGGGGAGGGCCAGACGTTCCTGGACAGGCGGTCGGCGTTCGCGCCCGCGCGGAGCCGCTGCGCCCAGGAGCTCGACTCTTTCCTGGATTTCTGCGACAGCCAGCCGATGCGAGCTCTGACGTCGGCCAGCGAGGTGGACGATGCAATTGTCGATTCTATGAACGACCTGTTCTTCGAAGGCCAGGAGTCGGCAAAGGGAGATCAGGTCATGGCAGGCCCCACGTTCAGGTTCCCAGTGTTCTCGAAGCAAGGGGAGGCCGAGATGCCCCGAGCCTGGAGGTGCCTCCGGGGTTGGCGCAAGCTGGCGCCTGGGCGGAGCCGCCGCGCATGGCCGCTGGCCCTCTGGCGCGGGCTCGCCTGGCGCATGGTGGTGAGGAATGCGCTGCAGATGGCCGTGTTCTGGCTCACGATGGTGTCGGGTTACTTCAGGTCCAGCCGCCTGCTCGCCCTGGCGCGCGGCAACATCGCGCGCCGCTGGTGGCCCCTGCTGCTGCGCCCGAACGACAAGCCGCCGCGGGGCGAGGCAGGCCTGGCCGACGTCGGGGCGATGCTAGACAGCGCTTGGTTTCAGCGTGCCACGCCCAGCTTCCGGAGTTCAGCTACCCGCAGTTTCTGGCCCTATTCGAGAAAGCTTTGTCAGATCTGCAGGTGCAAGAGCACGTAGTGCCATGCCAGGCTCGCCACTCGGGCCCAAGCATAGACAACTCAATACGGTGCAGAACAATCGAGGATATCCTAAAGAGAGACCAGTGGCAGCATGCCAAGTCGACGCAGCGGTGCGAGAAGGCGGCGCGGTTGGGTCAGAGCTGGTCACTCCTCTCGCCCCAGCTGCAAGACATGCTGAGAGAGTGCGAATGACGTCTCGAGGACATACTGATCGGAAAAGGTGCCGAGGCGATTACCCTGTGAAGCGGCATGGCCGCCAGCGTAACCATGTTCTGGATGTGTTCTCGGGTTCAGATTCACTGGGCAAAGCGGCGTTGAGGCGCGGTTTTAACAATCATGGTTTCGGTCTCAGTGGGCCCCAAGAGGACCTCACCAGGCCCGTTGTGATCGCCCGAGTTCGCGCCGCCATAAGCCGTGAAGAAGTCATTGCGGCATGTCTTGGGCCCCCTTGTGCGTCTTGGGGTACAGCCGCGGATAGAGGCCGCCAGCCCGGTCGCTCGAAGCTTTTTCCCTGGGGCATCCCAGACGCGTCAGACTACATTAAACGTAGGACTGTACAGGGCAACTCGACCTTTGCAGCAGCTTTGAGGATTATGAAAGCGCTCGTGCGATCAGATGTGCCGTTCTGTTTTGAGCATCCGATTAACAGTCGTCTATGGCACACCTCGGAGCTCCAGATTTTGCGCAAGCAGCATGGTATGCATTCTCGTGTATGTGACCAGTGTCAGTTCGGGGCTCGCTGGGGGAAGCGGACCCGTTTGTTTGTTCTTCGGTGTTGACCCCCAATATATTTTACAGTTTGAGCGGCGTTGTCACAGCATTGGGGGTGTCTGCTCGGCTCCAGGGAAACCCCACGTTATCCTGGAGGGTAAGGCCCCCTCGGGGGCCACGTGGGCATCTCTCGCTGCATCGTACCCGCCCAAACTAGCTGACTGTATCGTGAACTGTCGATTAAGCCGCCACAGGGACCGTGAGGCGGCTGTCTTCCTTTGGCCCACCTCGCCCTCCCAGTGCACCCGTTGGGATTTGGGGGTGTCTGGTGCGTCTCAACTTCGCCAAAACGAGTGGCATGTGGTAGCACAACTGTTCCCCACCGGACGTGGCAGTTAACGTGTCTGTGCGTGCACGGGAAGGTTGTGAGCGAAATGACTTGATGATACGGGTCAAAGAACGAACGTGTTTAAACGGGGGGCCGTGGACTCCATAGCCTTTCTTCGGTTCCCTCCCTCCCTTCTTTCCCCCTCAACGCTCTGTCGCCAGGCTGTTTGGTGCGTCTCAGCTTCGCCAAGACGAGTGGCATGTGGTAGCAAAAATGTTCCCGCCGAACGTAGCAGATAACCTTCTTTATATTGTGTTTGTTGCAAGGCATGGGGGGGAGAGTGTTGGCATTGCGCGCAGCAGGCAATCTGCCGATCCCCCGCCGCCCCTGTCAGAAATTTCTGCGAAGCGACCGCGGGGTGTCCACGCATGATCCAGATTGTATGACAAAGTGAATTTCTTATCCTTATTTGCAAGGCATTGTCGGGGGGTGGGTCGACATTGATCCTGTGGTGTTTCTAGCTTGGTGGTGTAGGTGATGTATATGGAAAAGACAGAAATCATACCCTCTCCGAATGGGGAAGATGAGCGTGGCAACGCGTTCAGGCAGTGGGGTCATGGGGGCTGGCGCATGGAGTGACTGGGCTGGCGTGGTTCTCCGTCCAGAGGGCTGGTGTGATTGGGTCATGGGGGTTGGGGCAAACATATCCACAGTCCTCGCCTGTTGAAGTTCCTGGATATCGATCCCGCGGTGGTTATTCATACATTTCCGTGTCGCACAGTTGGTGTCATCCCCTGTCATGTACCTTCGTGAGCCTTTCCCTTCTCCCTCTCACCCTTCCTCCTCCTCTTCTCCAAGTTCTTCTTTGCAACACCCCCAGGCGTGTTGGTAGGGTGGGCCGGGTGTTCCGCCTGAGACTTCTTCCCTAGTCATGGTCCTCAACCTTTGTTCTGCAGGCGTATCACGGATGGCGATCGTGACGTTTTCAACACATGGTTCTCGCTTCAACGCCAAGCGCCTTCGCATTAGAAGTTGGCAGCAGTTTCGCGGGTGGAGTACGGGGGGGCCGTTTTCAAAATGCAGTTTGTATTTTTGAGCCGCGCACATGCGTCTGAGAAGTTTACAGCCGTTTCGCGACCGAAGGTGTGTGTGTGTGTGTGTTTTCAGGAGGTGCTCCACTCAGTGCCGCGCGCATTCGTCGTACCAGTGTGCAGCAGCTTCGCGGCCGGAGGGCGGCTCCTTTTTCAGAATGTGGCTCGTGCTTCGTGCCGCGCACGTCTTCGTCGTAGAAGTTCTTCTCACTCGCGGATTGGGGGGTGGTCGCTTCGACAATGTGGTTCTCGCCCCCTCGCCGCGCACACTCGTCCCAAAAGTGTGCAGCCGCTTCATCAATGGAGGCTTGTTCTTTTTGGACATCCGGCTCTCGCCTTTGTGCCGCGCACGTTCGTTCTATAATTCTGCTGCAGCGTCATTGATGTAGGGGGAGCGTGTTCAAAACATGGGTGTCGCCCTAGTGCGCGCACAGTCGTCCTAACAGTCTGCAGCAGCTTCGGTTCTGTAGGGGGATCGTTTTGATTCGGTGGCTTTCGCTCTCGCGCCGCACATTCAGGGATTCAAGCACCATTAAGCTGGATTTAAGGATTCAGGGATTCTGATGATTCGCACATTCAGGGATTCAGGGATTCAGGGATTCTCGATTCGGTGGCTCGTTTTAACCACCAACGAAATCTGCTGCATGCAGCTGGTTTCGGCTCCGCCGCCTGGCCCATTCCTCGATACATGGGCGCCTCCCGGCGCCGGGAGGCGCTGGGAAGATCAGTTACGTAAGCTGATTCTCAACCCTGCCCGTTGCTATCCCCCCCTTTCGTTCCCCCCGATCGTGGGCCGTCTTCAAGCGTCGGCGTCGGAAAGCCGAGAGAGGTGGAAGGCCAAGAGCCTCAAAACAACGAGTGCACATCAGCCGTTCTGTAACTATTTTGGGTCCTCTTGAGGAGCCGCTTCGAGGCCCCTTGGGGCGTCGTGGAGGCATCCTGGGCCATCTGGAACACATCCTGGGCGTCTTGGGACATAATGATTCTTTTCGGGGCCGTCTTGGACCGTCTTGGAGCTGTCGTGTTGTCCTCCTGGCCCGCTGTGAGGCCGCCCATCTCGCCGCCGCGACTGGGTCGTGGTTCAGATACCTCTGCGAGACACGGCGAATGCCCCTGTGAGAGTGGCTGGGAGCCTGTTGGGCCCTCTTTCGGGCGTCGTGGGTGCGTCTTGGGGGGCTCCTGGGGCCCCATCGGGGAGCTCGTGGCGTGCGTCGGAAACCCGAGAAGGCTGGAAGGCCACAAACCGTGGAAGAACGAATGAACATCAACCATTCTATAAACTCTTGGGGTCCTCTTAGGAAGCCTCTTCGAGGCCTCTTGGGACGTCATGGAGGCATCCTAGGCCGCTGTTGCTGCTTCTGGGTGCTGCGTGACTTATGTTTGTATTTGTATCGAAGACGCCTACTGCGAATCACCGCCGCCCCCTGCCTTCTTGGAAGCACCTGCGTGGCCGAAAGTTGGGTTTGAGCTTGGCAAAGCTATCGGGCCACGCGTTCCCCGAGTGGGTTTCGAAAGCTTTCGGGGACCACGAAGTCGGGCTTCCGAGCTTTCGGATTTCCGGGCTTTCGGATTTCCGAGCTTTCGGATTTCCGAGTTTTCGGGTTTCTTGGAGGACGTCTTGGAGGACTCTTGGGTCGTCTTGGAGGCCTCTTGCTGGCCGTTTGGGCAGTCTTAGGCCATCTTGAGGCCATCTTGGGCAGTCCTGGTGCATCTTGGGGCCATCTTTCTTCGCCGTCTTTGAGGCCGTCTTGGCTGCCTTGGAGGCTTCTTGAAGGCCATCTTGGCCGCCTGGAGGCCATTTTGACCCGTTCGGGCCTTCCTGGAGGACGTCTTGGAGGGCTCTTGGGCCGTCTTGGAGGCCTCTCGCGGGCCTTTCGGGCAGTCTTAGGGCATCTTGAGGCCATCTTGGGCAGTCTTGGCTGCATCTTGGGGCCATCCTCGCCGTCTTGGAAGCCGCCTTGGCCGTCTTGGAGGCATGTTGAAGGCCATCTTGGCCGTCTGGAGGCTGTTTTGACACTTTCGGGCCTTCCTGGAGGACGTCTTGGAGGGCTCTTGGGCCGTCTTGGAGCCCTCTTGCGGGTCTCTTGGGCAGTCGAAGGCCATCTTGAGGCCATTTGGGGCCGTCTTGGGTGCATGTTGGGGCCATCTTCGCTGCCTTGGCGGCCTTCTTGGCCGTCTTGGACGCGTAGCATTTTGGAGGCCATCTTGGCCGTCTCGGAGGCCATCTTCGGCGTCTTCGGGGCTATCTTGGGCCGTCTTGGGGCCTTCTTGGGGCCCTCGTTGGGTCCTCCTGGGTTGTCATGGGGCCATCTTGGAGGCCTCTTGGGCGCTCTTGAGACGATGCTGGGGGACTCTTGGGCCGTCTTGGGCCGTCGGAGAGCTGATACGGAGCAAAAGCCAACATCCGTCAAACACCTAAGGAACATCAATGATTTGGCCTGTAACCCTGTCGGGACCTCCTGAAGGACGCCTTGGAGGGCTCTTGGGCCGTCTTGGAGGCCTCTTGCGGGCTTTTTTGGCAGTCGAAGGCCATCTTGAGGCCATCTTGGGCAGTCTTGGCTGCACCTTGGGGCCATCCTCGCCGTCTTGGAGGCCATTTTTGCCGTTTTGGAGACATCTTGAAGGTCATCTTGGCCGTCTGGAGGCCATCTGGGGCTTCTTGGGCTCTTGGGCCGTCTTGGGGCCTTCTTTGGACCGTCTTGGGGGGCTCTTGGGCCGTCCTGGGACAGTCTTGGAGGCTTCTTGGGCATTCTTGGGGCGATATTGATGGCCTCTTGGGCAGTCTTGGGCCGTCGGAAGGCC